ATACGTTGCACCCGTGCGAAGCCGGGGACGGTCGCTAGTTTATTCATAACAAGAAGCAGATTGGTTTTTTTGCTTCTATATAGTAACATATAGGGCCACGCAACTGCAATGACCAAAGTCTGGGGAAGTGAAAGTATTAAACTTTCGCGTTTCGTCAAGTAAGTGAGGTAGACGGGGCCCACATTTTTATAAGTTGTAGATGTCCACGGGCGGCGGTATTTTTTTTTTTTTTTTTTTTATCTAATGTTTACAAGATTTAATCTATCTAAAATTACATATTATCTTTTTTTTCGGCGCGTATAATTATGTAGTCCTTTTAGTTTTTTTAATTAATAAGGACAATCTTTATTGATCTAATATTTACAAGATTAAATCTATCTAAAATTACATATTATCTAATAAACCTAATCCACGCGGCATGGTGCCAAGAACGCTAGCTGCATTTCCTCGCTGAATAGTTATGCTCAACCTTTGCGCGAGAAAAGAACCAGCTCTCTTGTCACCAGCCGCGGCGTTAAGCCTAGGACATAAACTTTTAAAAAAAATTGATGTGCGGGGACCCCACGGACCTAATGTTTCAACAGCAAATGGCACAAATACGGCGGTATTAATTTAACATCAGGTGAACCACCTGCTCGCTTGATAACGTTTCATGTAAAAGAATAATTAAAATGAAAACTTAAATATCATCTATTCATTACAAATATTTATAGTAGTATGTTTTGAAGCCCGACATCTAAATGTAACTAACATACAAGAAAATTTAAGTTGTGATTTCAAATAAAAATTTTTTTACATCACATCGAAACCGTTGTATGGTTTGGATTCAAACTTTTCAACGAGAAAGACAAAGAATTCTAAAAAAAAAAAGTAATTTGTGATTAGGCATCTTAGAGGTTTCATAAAAAATTTACAAAATTACATGTGTAAGATAGTTAAAGTTTTGTTTATCTATAATTTTCTAACATGTAATAAATATATTTACAATAAAACGAAAATATTTAATATAGAACAATTATACATTTATACTACAAGTATAATTATCAGAAAAATATTAACAAATGAACTAAAGACATAAAATATATTATATAAATTTATTAAAATTTCGTCATATTTCAGTAATATTATTTTGAGAAAATAAACATTTCTTGGAACCTAAATCTCGAACGGACTTAATTTTTTTGTATTTCAGGCACGGAATGTTAAATAGTTTATAATTTCTTCGATTATTAATTTACTAGCATATTTTATAAAGTAATAATTAATTTCATAATTTTATTTAATTGTTAATTAATTTATAAATCACTCTCATGTGTTTATCGTTATATCCTGGGTTTCCCACTTCATACGTAAAAAGTTCTAAATATACATTAATATATTCATTATATTCAGGGGACGTAACTCTTACGAGCCTCAGTTATAATGGAATGCATCGTAAAAATTCTAGAATAATTCATTGTTGGCTATACATATTTTATTCATATGCCAATGTAATTTGCAAACAAATGTTCGGTTATGTGACGCATAAGGTAAGTCCAGACTAGGGTGCATTGACGAACTTAGTGCGTGTATAATATTATTTGTTAATCAATCCTTGTGTTTAAACATGTGTATTTATTTTTTCCTGATACTTAGTAATGTCTATGATAGCTAAACGTACGCGTGATCGTTCGATAGTTTATTAATTGACGAGCATTTAGTAATTATAAAGTAAATAAAATCTCATTCAATAACGATCCTTCCACCATAGATAGACACAGAATTTCAAGTGATCTTTTATTTTAGACGGAGAAATATTCGATTATTAAACTAGCTGCCCTGTCATAGTGGACCAAGGTGGCAAATTTCAATTTGACTATTTGAGTCAATGATGTTATATTCAAATACGAGGTAGATATGACACTGGCGCACCGAAACTGAGAAACTCAAATTACTCCGATTGATTTAATTAGATTGCAACTCTACATACTTCTATATCTTTCCGTAACATACATTCAAAATCATCTGTCACATTCACGTACACATGTCAAATAATGTAAACCGGCACGATTTATAAACGCCGCGCTGTTATTTCTTAAAACATCACACATATAAATATGTTAATATGCATTTATATTCATTGGTCAAATTAGTTGCATCGATATTTAGAATTAAGAAACAGATTCAACCGGATGAGTTAAAGTGTTATAGATAAACATTATATAAGGCGAGCTAAGCATTCAGGGTGGGGCCTTGAAAACGAGCCGCGGAAATTTGACGAGAATGTCGCGGGAAAGACTAGCCTCGTTGTATATTCAGGCCTTTGTGGGCCACGAAATTGACCGCCCCATAAAGCCGCGCTACGTTCGTCTCAATCGCTCCCCCTCCCCCCTGGGCCGTTGCGTAATATTGCCACCATCACGCGCCATAATCCGAGCACAATGAGACGCACACGCGAGTGGAACAAACAGTCAATCCGCGCTATACGGTCGTCGTAAAAGCTCGATGCGTGCGCGCGAAGATTTACAACCGAGAGCTATGAGAAAAAATCTCGGGGAACACCGAAGCGAAGACGCGGAGTGTTGTTTGTTTGAATTATGAAACGCGAAAATCTGAATGTTGTATCTATTTTCTCTTTTTTTAGGGTTCCGCAACCAAAGGGTAAAACGGGACCCTATTACTAAGGCTGTCTGTCCGTCTGTATACACTCTCGGATAGTTAGGCAGTTGAAATTTTCACAGATGATGTGTATCTGTTGCCGCTGTAACAACAAATACTAAAAAACAGAAAAAAAAATATTTTAGTGGTGCTCCCATACAACAAACATGATATTTTGCCGTTTTTATAGATACGTACGGTATAGGTACGGAACCCTTCGTGCGCGAGTCCGACTCGCACTTAGCCGGTTTTTTTATTTTACATCGTTATAGCAGAACAATATAGTGTGTCGTAACAACCTTACTACAGCATAACATTATACTGTATTGTAAGGACGTCTGACATACATAAGTTTTACGTGGACAACACCCAGAACCAAAAAAATTATCTATGGGTCAAACAAATAGTTGTCCCGTGCAGGAACAACTATGTCCGTTGTCCCGAACCGACGACCCCCGGCGTCGAAGCCAAAATTTTGGCAACTACGGTGCTGCGTGGCCCTACCCACGCAGCAGCCTCGGCTGTTGCACGAATGGGCAGGCTCGTCCGGGTAAGTACCACGAACTCAAAGAAGACATACTTTCGGAAGTATAATACTTTCGCGTTTTGAATTTCCAAAAAGGTTGTCAACGCATCTGCAAACCCTCGGGTGTAGCAGATGTCCATGGCCGGCGGTATTTACTTAACATCAGGTGAACCGTCTGCTGGTTTGGCAACTTTTCACATAAAAAAAACTACGCCATGGAGTCTATTGGACCTATTGAAACCATTACGAATTCTGCCGCAATAAATTTAATCTTTTTATTTTAGTAGTACACAAGTTTAATATTTTTATTAGAAGCTAAGCCACCTCCAGCCGCATTCAGTTCTAGGTAAGTGATTAGCGCCACCCATGGACATCTCGCTGTCGAACTTTATGAGTAGTGGCCGGTTACTTCACCATACGAAACATAAAAGTATAAGACCTTAGTAGTCTTAGGTGAGTACTCTTTTCTTACTTATTGAATTCCGAACTTCGCAACACTTAAAAGCATCCACGGCGAAGGTACAAACTGACCAAATATTCGTATTTGAGTAAATAAAAGAAATTATTATATAAATTAAAAGTTCTTTGATGTCATAAATATGGTTGGATTCCAGTTGAGTTTTGAGTGAACGTATAGAGAACAAATTACTTATCGGCGTTTCAGTCAGTCTTCAACAAAATAATGAATCTTTGTTTATTTATAAACATAAGATAGTAAGGTTATTAATAAGAAAAATGTAAAACTTCCCATTTTATTGGTGGACCCCGAAAAATATATCCTTTAATTATGAAATAAATGATATTCATAATGTAATTAAACCGTCAGTCAATTCAGCAGTTCATTCAAATATGATTCGAAAGTAAAAGGAACCAAGTAGATATGTACTTAGAATTAAAAAAAATTGTATACCGTAGAGCTGGATGCGTTGTATTTTATAGTGAATGAAAAAAAAAACATTGTTACGCCAAAATATATATAGTATTTTGGCGTAACAATCGTACTTTTAGATATTTACATTAATAAATTATTTTTAAGCATGGTCTATCCGGCCGTCAAATACCAAAACAAAGATACAGTTTGTTTAATAACTACACCACTAACTTGAAAGGTATTTTAAAATTTTCGTATACGCGGATAATACACCACTTCCCCCCAAACTCCCCTTTCATCTCATATCTTAGCGGTCGGAAGGAGGTCAGAGCGGACCACCCGAGTTATTGGACACTCGACTCGCGAAACTTTCGGTGGATTATCGCTGATACGCGGCGGATTTATTGCTATTGTACTGCTAAACGTTACGCTAATATTTCGCCGTCGTCTGTGGAGCACGTTCGAGTTTATTTCGCACGATAGGTGGATACCCCCCCCGTTTGGTTTGTTGGCCAGTTGTACGGTGTTTTAGCGAGATCTTAGCCCGATTTGAGATGCGTTTTGGCTATCTCTTTGTTATAGATCATCGTTTTAAAGTTTAAAGATGGAACAATGGTGACAAATTAAAAATATGTTCTCAGAGCCAGTGATGTGTTTTCTTTTTCTTTCAAGTTTTGTAACTTCAAATACAAATGTCATTGCCTATGGCCAAACCTTGATAAGTTTTAGTTCTGAAACATTTAAAACGCGTGTAAATATTCTAAATCGTGTGAAATAATATTACACGCGTTTTATTAATAAAATAAAAAGTACCTAATCCTCTGAGGTAGAGTTACACCTATATATCAACCCTCTGCTGTGACAAGGTTTCTTCTGTACAGAGGGTAGCACCTAAAATTGTAATTAACGCTTACATCAGTGTCGGCACTTTGAATTGAACTGTTTCATTGGTTTCAAAAGCCTTACCTTCCTCTCCAGTTGAACTTGGTGTGGGCAAACCCCCCCCCCCCTATCCCCCGCCCCCTCTCGGTCCACGCGACAAACCTAACTATATCACAAGCTTCCATCTAGCTTAACACTAAAGCCTTACCTAACACAACTGACACAAACAAAGACCCGGTAACGCATCACTCACTCAAATGTCCGTAACACTAAATAAAACTCTAACATTAGTTAACATTGAACGGTCGAATAACGAACAACACGCCACTCACTATAACACGGCTGACGTGAAACGAACATGAAACTTAAACAGAACGTGTTCGCGTCGTATTTACAGAGTTATCGTTCTAGCGCCGAACGCTCGTTCGCGGCGAGCGCGAATCGGTGCGGTGCGCGAGCGGCTAAGCGGTTCAGTGGACCCAAGAGGGGGCGGCCGAGTAAGGGGTGCGGGGGGCACCCCCGCCGGAGAGGGTGGTGGGGACAGGGGGGGCGGGAGCCGCGAACTGGCTCTCCGCTTCGGCCGCCATCGCGCTGTGCTGCTGGGGAAAGTTGAAGTCCAGAGTGCCCTCCATGCTGAGCTCGTGCTTTATGACCTGACGGCAAACGGAGCCCCGTTAATGGGGCCGGGCGGTGTCCATATCAACGGACGATTTCAATGTTCAATATACAGATTTAGTATTGAAACCACCAAGTTTTAAACTGGTGAGATATTTGAAAATAAAAAATTCTACAGATAAATTTGGTCACTGGCAATAGGTAAAGAAATAGTAGAAGAGACTTTCGGTGAAACACTCCTCACGAAATACTGATGATCGTTAAAGGTTTGCAACTCCACTTTGTCTTGTGGACCTGACATCAGGTGAGCCACGAGGAAAAATAATCCGACTAGAGGTACGTAGATCATCACTTAACATCAGATTTGACAGTATCCAAGCACTAGCTAGTTCATTGAAATAGAAGAGTTGCTTTGCTGATACTGAAGGCAAGGTCTTGGAGGGAGCTATGCTGTTGACAAATTAATCACTATCCCAACCTCACCTCGTCAACGTTGCAATCGAAGCCGTGCTCCAGAGTCTCTATGTTCAAATCCTCCGCTAGGCCCGTATTAAGAGCGCCCATTATCTGGCCCATGACCGTGGTTGGCCCCATCGCGCCTGTTTGCACCATCATGCCCCCATTCATCAGCGCTGCGTCCGTCGTCACCATTCGGGTCTGGCTATTCTCTGTGCAATATAACGCAACCATCAGCAACTCGTCGGATTTGTAACCGATAAACACATCGAATATGGTGGGAAATTCAATGTACTAAATTAAAATCGACATATCGTACGGACATTGGAGGAAACGTTGATTTCATACTTGGCAATGTAAATGTTTAATCATAATAAAAATATTTACCATTCTAAAGAACTAGGCTCACTGGACACCGGCAGGTCTCTTTTATGATCTATCTCGAAAATGATTGATTGGTTTCAATCTGATCAACTATTTCTGAAGTGCCTGTTTTAATACTAATTATCACTGGTATAATAGCACCGTGCAATCTCTACCAATCTTGATTGACCCATATCCGGTTCCTTTACGATTTCGCGGAGGTGCACTTATAAATTGTTATACCACTGGCTGCTGACCTGTGTGGATGCCGCTGAAAGACTTCGTACTTGCACAACCTTTACCAATTAACACTGGTCTGATAGCACCGGCGCAATCACCAATCTGGATTGAGCTACGCCACCACGTCCACGATCCTGCGGAGGGGCAATTATAAATTGGGGCATACGGAGGGCGTTGGCCTGGATTTGAACCAGTCTTGATGGACCCAAATCGCCGCGCCGTTGGTCCTGTAGGGAGGGCAGTTTAAACTGGTTGCCGACCTGTGTGCATGATGTCCGCTGGGTCCGCGGGCGGCGGCGGTCTCACGAAGTGGTCGAGCGCGTGCTGGTGGGGGTGCGTCGGGTGCGCGGGGTGGGCGGGGTGGGCGTAGAGGGAGCAGCCGCACGCGCCGTGCGGGTGGCGCGGGCAAGCGCCGTACGGGTAGCGGTAGCTGTTGCCCGACGACGACGTGGTAGGTACGTATCTGGTGGGCGCGTATCGTTATTGGATCGTATCGCTAGCGTCGACGCCACGCGCGCGTTTCCTGACCTATTCTCGGGAGGACCTGATCATATAAAAACACAGGTGCCACTAGCAAATGACAATGCATATGCTTCTGGATATGAGATCGGGTCGAGGCTCGTTCCTTGCATTCTAGTCAGTAACGATTTCATTGACTTTTAAAGGGTTGCGATGACATTAGAAGAGACAAAATTAAATGATGCAAATATATATAAAATATTACATTATTGTTCATTCAATTAAAATACTTTTCGTTAAAACTTTATCCATGAGTATGTACAGTATAAGTTCTAATGGAAGTAATCTCAAAAAGCAAAGCTTTCTAATGCGAGGCGCACATAAATTATTCACGGAAGCGTTGAATTAAATGCTTCTAAGACAGACAACGGGACAGATTTTCGCCGCGAACGGCATCCAAAATATTTCACCACAACAAAAATCTGTCCTACAATGCAAGCGGAACTAAACTAGACTCTTACGTATTAAGGAAAGGATCGGCGCCTTGCAGTTTCATGGAGTCCGCGAGCGAGCCGGCCAACTGTTCCTCTTGGGCAAAGTCGACTTGTGTGAAATCGCTGGTCGATGGGAAATCGGCCGTCCCGAAGTCATTGAAGTCACCGGCGGGATTGTATGAGTCAGTGACCCAGTCGGGCTCTGATGGCAGCAGCGACGGCCTTGGTGACTGGCGACCGCTCGACGACGCGTTCGACGACGCCCTCTGGCGGTACTCCGGCGACAACTGAAAACCACTGCTACGCCAAAGCGAACAAGCGTCAAAAGAAACGAAACTCGGTAAAAGCTATTAAACAACAAAACGTCCATCGTTCTTCTGATATCTACATGTCAGCAAACTTTTGATCAACTATTGATTTCCTGATAGATTTGATTAAGATTAAAGTTATTTAGACGATGGATATTTTCTTATTGTAATAGCACTTATAATTAATATACCATGAGCTTTGACCAAAGAAGTCTGCTTACTTTAGCCAGCACTCATTGATGCTAAAACGGCAAATAATAATAATCCTCAGCAGAAATAAAACTTGCCTAGATCATCTAGCGAAATCCCTTTGTAGAGTCTCGTAATGGGTAGCATGCAAATCTAATGCCTCTATGAAGGCTCGCATACAGATAAACTCGGAATGCTAAATGAAGCGATGATCATAACGGGTTAAATGGTCAGCGCAAAAATATTTTTATTACCGAATATTATGACAGAAAATAATATCGGAAGATATTTTGTATATGGAACCTCCTAAAGGATAAAAACTATCCAAAATAAATGTCAGTTAAGCTGGCAAACTCGACAGATATACGGCAATAAAAATGTTAAATATAGCCAAAATGACGAGATTCAGCATTCGCATAACTCATAATCTAATGGTTGCGAATGATTTAAAACCTTTTATCGTAAAGTAACACGGTTGTCGTAACTCAGTTTTATTGGCGTGGTCAACGTAGTATTATGTCGCAGGTTTTATTAAATTTGTAGTTGCGCATAAGTTTTGCGTCTATAATTGAAAGCTTGACGCGATTGACGTCACTGGGACAAAATCCAGAACATCTGTGGCACCGACACAGCGCACATTCCCTACGTATGTGACTTTAAATTATTGTCATTAAAATCAAATTAGAATCAAAAACTCGCTACAGATTCCAACGTTGGCTACTTGCCATTCTTCGATTTCTTTAAATCAATCCACCTGGAACATATTACCTCACAGGAACAACATTTACTAACTAAATACTAATCATCTAGTCGATCTATAAGCGATATAAGATCTATTATTTTATTTTATATCTAAATGGTAAAATGGACTTATATTAACCTGGGCAAAGGTGAATCTGGGAACATGTCGAGGCTCTCCGACAAAGAACTACTGGGACTGGGAGTGGCATCTGCTGTAACACCGTTCCTTAGGGCTTCGGTCTGTCGATTAAATTAATGGTACTTTAGAAGAAGTTCAAATATTCGTAGTGAGAACGGTTAAAGTAAGGAATCAAACCTTCTTTTTAACTCGACCCCTTCTCTTTTCGAACTTCGACGTCTCCATAGACGCCGCTCGTCTCCTGACCGATTTGCCTGGTTTAGCGTCGGGGTTGATCATCCACCATGATGACTTGCCGGTGCCTTCGTTCTGCACCCGCATAAACCGGTTGTGTAGCGACAAGTTGTGCCGGATTGAATTCTGCCACAGGACAATAGAAAAATAATGGATTACAATTGTGAAAAAAAAATATTAGTAAATACTCCCCAAAATATTTAGTTTTCTATAGTTTAAAATATTTGATGAGTCAAAAGGCAAAATAAGGCGATATTTTGACGGATTTTTTAGTATTAATAAAAGTAAAAGCCTATACATGTCCTTCTACGCGGCCCCAGTGCGCTTCACAAAATACGTAGAATTAAATTTTATACAACTTTAATTTTGATATTTTTTCAAACTACTTTTTTGTTATTGTTTCGGAAATATGCAGGTTTCATCACGATGTTTTCCTTCACCGCTGATCACATGATAACTCCGCAACTAAAATTAACAATTTAATTGGTGCCGTTACCGGGGACTGAACTCAAGTTGCTCGAGTATTTTGAAATAAAGGTTAGCGCCCGGACACTGAGCTATCTCGACACAATATATTAACATAACAAGTGACTTTTTAAAATCATACCTTAAAAGAAATGGCTAGAGTATTCAGTAATTGATAATGGAGTTTAAATAATATTCATTTTGTGTTTATTCATGATTCATGCTAAAATTTATTCACAGATCTTAAAAGCAATTTTTAATTTTTCAGACAGTACAAGACTTGTACAAGGCAACACAGTATTGTTACTTAGTGACAATACTGTTTTGTCTTTCTTAGATAATAAGTATCAACGTGGGTGTTACGAATGAAACGGTAAAAAAGATGGCAGTAAATAGTAGGAGTTAGCGCAGTCATATCAAATGTTACCATTACTGACCGCAAAAAATCTATTTTAATTCCAGCAACCGTTAAAAGTTAGTGCAATAACGTGTCCTATCTCACACCGGCAATAAAATCTCGCAACTTTTTCCCGTCGAAGGAATAAAAGCAACCACAGCAACGAATGAAGTTAAGCAATAAAAGACTCCATAAATAATTTCAGCTTGCCCTGTGAGAAATGCCACTTACTGCGGGATCGTTTCCTTCATGTAAATATGTGGAGTTCGCTTCCATATCAGGAAACTCCGTAGAAAAAACTGGCAGACGAATGTTTTTGCAATTTTTTTTTATAAGTAATTTAAAAGGAACGTCATTTATTCAAAACTTTTTGTCGGGAATTGGGATGCATAAATCATGAACACCTCTATGGCATACGTAAATCACGATATTTTCAGTGTCGGGTAACGTGAAAATTTTACGCAAGTCGCTGAAACGTCGATGGAGTTGCGGAATGATGCGACCTACCATCGTAAAATTACTTATTTAGTGTCCTCTTTTCGATGGAAACTTTAAAATTCGAAGTATACGATTTAAAGAAACATGAATTAGCATGCTAACGTAGAGTAGTTTTTGTTTTTGTATTTCGCTGAAATTATAATTAAGATTTTGGAATTAAATCTCCAATTTGGCGTTCAGTTGAAATCTAGTTTCTGAAACTGGCTACATTCAATTACTCCTGCGTAATAAACGAACTGTGTATGAACATAAATCCGGTAAATGTAGACAAGTTGCACGATTTGTCAAGCGTGAAAACACTCGCAACAAATGGCCTGTCGACACCCTGATGGATATGTCGCCAACAACTCTAACCACGACTAGCTTTCTTCATTACGAAAACGCCGACTTCACATTATTTCCAAGAATGCAATTAAACGTGGAAACGAATAGAAAATTACATTGAAATTGAAACATTGTTAGGTCCTTATATGTCCTACACAGATTAAGGGGGGTCGGTTAAGTTAATCATTGAACTTTACCCAAAGGTAACTTTTTGTGACAAAGTTTCATTAAAGAAGAATGAATTTATGATTTAACTTTCTTTTACGCAGACTAGAGAAAAATCGCTTCACCTTGGTTTCTCATATATGATCTGTGGCATAAATAAAAAATAACTTGCCGGCTAGCGTAAAACATAATCAAAACTTCTGCCGCGGTGACATCACGTACGAATAGGTTGCGTAATTCACCTGTTTTATATATTTTTTGCGACAGGATCGTATTATTTGCTGTAGTGATCTACATACATATTATGAAATTTTTTAAATAATATGGGATTAGAAAATGCAAACGCATTTTAGGCTTTGTAAATATAACATATAGAACAAAATTTTGGAATGGTCTCTCTCATAAACTATTTGAGAACAAGAATCCTCATATATAGAACACATTTTTTCGTGCTTTACTCACAATTATATTTTATTTTTCAGTAACAAAACGGCCTTTGTCATCCTATCATTGGACGAGTTTTCTACGAAGCTATTAAATGATAATTCACTATTTCTAGAAATATTTCGAACTTGATGGTTCATATATCGTGCTCAATCTTTCGCCAATAGGCAAACGAGGATTTAATATTGTAATAAGCAATTCAGAGAATTGAAGTAGAGAGAAAGTACAGAGTTGAGAATTTTATCTTCCTCAACAATCCGAGCTAAAGATCGCGACAACTCGAAAGAGCCATATCGTGCATTCCTAAACGCTCACAGTTCGTGGCAACATTTAAGAGAAGTTGCTCGCGCACGGGGCGGCGGCAAGACGTCGTACTTAGAAATTTGTCTACGGCAGGAACCCCGGCGCCAGTGCGACCCTTATGGGGTGAATTAACCGTCTACGCCGTCGTCCCCTTTAATGCTCCGCCGGCTTAAATTTCGTTAGAATTTCCACGGGTGCGTTACGCAATCCGAACGTCTTATGATTTCCGCTGTTTATGGGCGCACGTTTAATTCAAACGGCTGAGTTCCGTGGCTGTGAATTTTATGTAATGATAATTGGATTAATACTTTCTGGATTATATTTTGCTACAGTATAATGCTCTGATACATTTTTCTAAGAAATTACGTTTCATTTCTAAGTAATTAATTTAGAAACGGAACCTTATGTATGCTTAGAGCAAGAAGTGAAAAATGATTTGTGAATTTGAATTTCTTCTTTGCATCGTTCAATAATATTACTATGAGAATTGTACAAATTTGAACAAAATTTAATGTAACATATACGCACAGCGCAATCGAATAACTAGAATATTTTTTTTAATATTTAAAACATATTTGTTTATTGCTCGAATAACTAGTAGTGTGAGCTATAAAAAGCTACGATACAGATAGGCGGTGGAAAAAGGCGAGACAAAGTTTCCGTCCGACGGTTACATATTCAATTGGTAGCTAACCTTCAGCGACGAAATTTTCTATTCTTTTACGTAATAAGCGTGGATGCGGGACCGAAGCAATGGACTAAGCGAATGGGCAATGAATAATTCAGCGAGTAACGCGACACACGGGGTGCACGCACGGCGGACGTCCGAAATGCATTTTAATGGGATCTCAGTGGGATGCGATCGACTTTTTTTTTACCTAAATGTATTCGTAAATGGAACAGTTGTCGAGAGAAGTACAGTTATAGACAATGGCGGTAGCACGAATTACCATTGTGTCGTTAATATCTTACACCAACAAAAATTTGTCATTTGAAGATACATTTAAGTGATGATAATTCGTCGATTGAGTTAACTACCAAAGATACATCTGAAAAGCATTGAATAAGTATAAATTAAAGGATAAGTGGTTAATTTATAAGATTGGTTCCGAAAAGTACTGAAATTATACGATCTTTGGTTCAGTGATGAATATACATTTATGATTGGATCAATACAAGACGATTTCTTGCAATTTGCTTTCCGAATAAACTAAATCTTTACCGGGAATACAGAGAAGACTGTGAACTATTCCAGACATGAAAATTACCGAAATTTGGAGACCATTGAAATGTAATTTTGTTATATTTTTATTAAGGAACGAATTGAAACTGAAATATTTTCTGAATACTTTTTGCTTAATATTAATTGTTACCTGGAATATATTTAATAAGTACAAAAAATATGTGGCTTTATAACTATTATTTTTTTAACATTAAGTCGAATCGATGATGAAGTAGAAATTAAAACATATACTAATCCACGCTGTTTATATTTTGTCCTATATTACATGATATTGTCTAATAACAAGTACATATTACAATGACAACGTAATGCCAAACGGAAAACCTCAATTTTAAATCAACATAGTACATTAGAAGGCGCCGCGGTTTACATTTCAGAATCGTAGACGGAAATATCTTAGATAATCTGGGGGTGTCAAATCAAACAATAAATAATTCAAATCGGGGAATGGCGGTTACAATGGAAAGGAGCGTAGAGGGGTAGGACGGATGCGGTGAACTCGATGGCGTTCATAATTTTGTAAGAAAATCCGACGCCGCGTCAATCGCCGCTGACAAATTCTATTATCCAACTTACCGAAACGTGACACAAATGACACGCAAGAGCCGATAACTAAGTACGGATAAATTCACTTAGGCCCGCCGCGGTGAAGTTTAACTTGATAAAACATTGAAATTTTCATAATTAGATTGCGCCGAGGTCGGAATCCGATGGCGGAATGATTTGAATACACCATTAGGTAGGGCTTTGTACTCACCTGCCTGTACTTATTAGATTTATAACTAGAGAGTGGTCGGTAGGCGTTGAATGTATTTATTTAATTTGAAGCTTTCCTAATTTAATATTTAAATAGTTCAAAATATCACCAATTTTTCAAAGCAATCAAATTATTTGTGCAGCAATTTAAATGTGATACATTTCAATATACACAGTTATTTTATTTATTTAATCTTTACTTAAATAAAACAGATAACAAAGGGCGGACTTAATGCCCAAAGGCATTCTCTACCAGTCAAACCATATATGATATGGTGAGATATTATAAGTGCAGTGAAAGATGCAAGAGTAATAAAATATTAAATAATGAGAATAAATATATAAATAAAAAGTAAGAAATATAAAGTAAGTAACACTTAAAATAATTGATTTTATAGTCGTAGTATATACAGGATGATTTTATAGTCGACGGACATATTAACAGAGCATGTGAAGAATTTGTTTCTAAATCTGAATCTGGTACATACTTGTGACCTAGCTTTTTTTTTTTTCAAAGATTATTTTTAATTTTATCAAACATTATGGATACCTTAAAAAATTCATCTCTTAACGTCTCAATACAATAACCTATTCACGAGCACTAAAACTTTTCACTGAACGTATAATTACTAAACTGCTTATCAGTAGGGTGACCACGCTTAACGTTATAAACAATGTTTGAATTGATATTTTTCTGGTTATTTATTTTCAAAATAAATATTAATATTTTTTTTAATTATGGAATGCTCAATCAACATTATGTCATAGTATGTACTTCGTCTAAAAAATCTCAATGTATGTAATATACTAAAGATATTTTTATTTATTTATTTATTTATTTTATTTATTTATTTATACATAATATATGTATTAAATAACATTTTACTTCTACTTATAATAATAGCCCATATTTTAAGCCAAGGTAGTCTTTAGCAAGTGTTCACGAACCAGTCTTTTGAAAGATGTCTTAAATGTTGCATTGCTTACATCATCGGGCAAGGAGTTCCAAAGGCATAGGCATTCTTATTGGTATACACTCACAGAGTAGAATTGGATAACACAAAACTCGTAACTTTTTATTTAACTGGCCTTAAGTAATGCATATAAATGTGTAGGCCACCAAACTTGTGAGTATTTTATAATATTTTTGGCGAGTTTTCGAACATTAAAAATATATAATATTACACGAAAACGTTGAATGCGCAGACGTGAATGTTGATGAAACGAAGGAGTATTTAAGGACTGCGGGAGTAAGCGCATTACTTCACTAAAGTAACGGCCGACGTGTTTATATATAATGCACTTAATTCTAAGGAATGAAAACGTTATCTGCCTAAATCTCTAAAGATTTTTATCAGATAATTCCACTAATTAGAAACTGTGATTAAAATGAAACGCCAAATCACTACATTTTTTTAAATCTCTTATGATACATTCTCAATGCGCAAATTACAAAATTTAACACTAGAAAAGAACCATGCCAATGCAAATGAGACAAAAGTAATGTCAGTAATAAGTATGATAAAAATCTGTAATCCCACTTTTTATATTTGCCTTATGGAAAATTTAAAAGAAAGCAAAGAAAAACATTTGACTTGAATTGAAAGTATTGCCATTACCAGTCTACCTGTCCAGTAACAGTACTAGTTAGCCTGGCAACTACATAACTAAGAATACAGGCCTTTAATCTTCTTTTACACATTTATTTTTATTACTTATTCCGGGATACGCCCTCAATACTCTAGCCACTGATCTAAACGGCATTTCCTAACATTAACAAAATGTCAACATATTTATATACTTTGTTTTTATTGCATTTAAAGCGATTCTGGGCACATCTACCTATTAGAACTTTCGATCTTCCATTTTTGTACAAATTTTAATAATCATTATTGCAGAGAATATTATAAAAATTAATATCATTTAAATATTTGTTATATTATTTGAATGGCTCGAGTCTCTAGAGAAATTTAAGCTTGTTAATTGAAAACGCCTACACATACAGACAAAAAAGTTGCTTTTCCAAGCATAGTATTATTCTTATTGTCAAACATTATACATTAGACATTATTACTGACATAATGAAGTATACTAAACGCAGCCCAAAACTGCAGAAAAGTATATAGTGAGTTTATTTATTGAGAGCGGCGTGCTGAGGATGAGAAATCACACTGAACTCTTCTGAAGTCTTAACAAACCTCCAGAAAGGAACTATTAGGACCGAAACCAGGAGAATTAGACTTTAACGTCTGGATATTTGCCCGCCAGTGTCTCAGTTTCAAAAAGGACACTGTTTTTTACTTTCAGCAAAAGAACGCCCACACTAGAAATGGTTCATTCATTATGAACGTAACAATAGGAAAAATTAGGGCGGCTGCTTCTTCCCAGATTCTCGTGGATTTATATCCGGGTATCGTATAAATCACGGTAATGTGCCGACTAATGTCCCTTACTGAGGTGTAAGATGTAGGCAAAATAGTCGCCCACTTGAAATACATGGTATTCCGACGTACAAAAACGTTACGTTACAATATTCTCTACTCTGTTTTATCATACAGTTGTCTTCGCGTGTGACTTTTGCGATTTATTAGTTATCTTGGAAGTAAAATCCCACTGTGATATTTTCGTGCGCAGATTCCAATGAATTGTACAGTGGTTTCGGTTAGTGTTCCGGTTCTTAAGTATCTTGATCGAAGACCGATGCAGCAATAAATTTTAGCTTTCATCAAATTTCTTATGTGCTAAAAATATTTTCTATCCGTGTCTGATGTAGAGCGACGCTTGTACCTGTTTAAGTTCTTAACAAGCGCGGTGAATAAAGCTTTTTATAAGATTACCTTACCTTTTTTATTACATCTTTCTATTAACAGTGTTATCTAGAGCTTATTTAAACAAACTTGACAAATAACTTATTTTTTAATGTAAGAAGGTGGCACCACTAAAACGTAAAAAGTGATTGATGACGCGATAAAGAATGGTTCTTTCTACAAAATAACACAGAAAGTTAAAATGTCAATTGATTTACTTTTTTTTATATCAAAAAACTTCATGGAATGAAGTTTTTACTGCGTTGATTGAATAACCGAATAAGCTTCTTAAAAAATAAATGTAAATTTTAAAAAGGCGGCATTTAATGTCTCTAAACTGCGTTTACATACAATTATCCCGTTTTATTTTCAATACAGTATGGAAATAAACATCATCTCTTTGCCAAGCTTTTGAATGCCTCGTAAACGGTGGACAATACATTTCCTTCGTGGTTAATGCAAAATGAAATAAACTAAAATCATATGGTTTTGTCAGGACAGTAATGAATATACTTTTCAATTTGCAATTAATGTGTGTACACTTTATTACGTGATGTAAAAACGAATGAAGATTAACGTCCGCACTCTGAGACCTTTATAAGCATTGACACAGGACACTTCATTTTTGATTATTAGTCAAATAGAGCCTTATTAAAATATTCCTAATTAAATCTGATGAAACCTTCAAATTTGATATTGTTTATTGAAATCTCTGAGAGATGTCGTGTTCAAGTATTCTCCAATATAGTGCGTAATTTCATTCCATAAATAATGATAGTTTTAGTTTTTTTGTCATTCCAACTATAATACTTGTGGCACGTAAGAAGAATTATGTAAATTGTGTAACTCTACTACCTTTATGACACAATAATTATTGCATGATGTTAAAAACGTGAATCACGGCAAGCCACATAACGAGTGCAGAAAATAGATGCACCGAAATAAACTCGATCCCGGCGCATCAAGTTAAGTCTTGCTAATTACGGGAGCAATAAAACGCTATATTTTATCTGTGCACAGAGCCAACGGGTAACAGGAACAGTTCAACGGTTGGCGTCTGCCCAGATCTAAATCCGACGATCTCCGCTCTTGACCCCGCCTAAGATGTTTCACGATGTGCCAATACCGGCGTTTTATGATGAAAACGAGATAGGATCGAGAGTCCAACCCGCCCTCCACTCTCTAGGGGAGAAAAATTTAATCGCGTAAGCGTGCACATTCGGTCGCGTGCCAATTTCACAGATGTTACTCGCGTTTCGCGAAATCTTTTTAAAATCATCTTCGAAACTGCTCGAAAGCGTTGCATTAATGCAAGAGCATTCATTCTGCCCTTCGCTCTGATGCCGATGAATAGGGCATGACTGTAACAAATCTTGCTTCAGCAATCCATTGTGATTAAATGACGCTGCGGAATTAGAGCATTCCTCCTCGGGTCTTAATAACTATCGAAGGCTAAGTGATGTAGGAGAAAATGGTTTAAAAAAACCCCGAAGAGGGGCGCTCTATTTTTCTTGCGGGGCGAAAACACCTTTTCAATCCTTCAATGGCCCGTCGGCGGGCGCGGGTGCGACTAGCAGCAGTCGCCTAATGGTTCCATGTAGATTTCATTAGACAGAAAAAACACCGCGCCCGAAGCACAATGGTGCTAGTGCGAACGCAAAGGGCGAGATTAATCGTTCGCCCGACGCATCCGCGGCCGACGTCGGCGGCTGTGGAAAAAATTAATCATTTTAACGCTTCATTGTCGCTCGACGCCCGCACGATCTCCGCCCCAATTATATCACAATTAGACACCCGTTTGACGGGCCCCGTTCGAATTTATCACGGCCGCGTCTTCGGGCGCCCCGACAAATATCACCGGCGGCGCGAGTCGCGGTGATTAATCGCGTCGGATACGTAAACGCTCGGACAGAAGCAACTCCGTTACATCGGACGCGACAGTTCGGCCGGGAATTACGTAAAGCTTTCGGAGAGCGATGTAATCTCGGCGGTCGTTTCCATAAACTTAACGGCGAGGAATCGCAAAACTTACACACCGCCGTTATAAGAGCCCAACTTGGCGTATTTGTTACACGCAGTCAGCATATTCGCGTCGAGTGACCGCCAATTTATGTGAAAACTTGCCACGCCCGAGTGCGAGCTATCTGTGAGTTCACTTGTCATGCCGCCGCTATCTTCGCGGATGCCCTAGGTGAATAAGTGAGCACGGAGTTTCGGTGTGAAAGTTTACTGCGTCGGAGGGGCCATGTGTCGATTCGGCGATTGAAATATGGCGTCGGTGCTCTGTGCGGTGGGCGGGGGACGTTTGGCGCCGTTTCCGCGTTAGGTGACTTGACGCATCGCGAGCAAATTCGGGGCTCGCGCTCTACATGCCAAAGATTTTGCGCCGCTCGTCGATTTTTATCGAAGGAGATCGTGACCGACGCTTGTGCGAACGATAGTGGGTCGGCCGGCTCGGTGCATCGCTGCGTTCATCGCGGCTCCATACAGACGTGTCGTGCAATCGAAATGTCAAGGCGGTCGTCCGGTTTTGCGTGTCGAGAGACAGAAAATCTCGGGCAAATGCCGTCGAAGAAAAAGAAAGGGATGTAATTGTAGAAATTTAATGACTTAAGTGATTGTAATGAGAGAAATTTAAAATTGTCTTACGCGGTGCTAAGGAGACATCTTTTAGTTTCAAGTATACCGTGAAGGAAATTTTCGAATGTCAATGATTTTCATCAAGTTTTTTATGGAACAGCTAGTCTAAACTAAACGCGTACTAAGAATAAAGATTATGATTTAAACAAAAAGGCACTTTATCTGCTGAAGTATGTTAGCGTTGAAAACGATGAGACAAAGGCTCCGCTTTCGATTTTCCTCTCAATAAATCAATAATCACGACTATTCATCGATCGTGATAAACGTGATACGCGTCGTGATGGATGCCCGCGATGTATCACGGGAAACTAACGCGGCCGATGTCGTGCCACTAAGAGCATCGGAAGGATAAGTGGAATATTCCACTTAGCGAAATGCCGTCAAGTAGGCGGTCACAATTATTATACCTCCGCTTGGAAAAGGCTCCAAGTACTTTGGCGTTAAACTGAAATTATTTTCTGGTACTTAAGTTGTATAGTAGTCAATTTCCTGTTACTTTTAATACTAACTTGAATGTTACGTCTCGGTGCCCCATTTGCCAAACTATTCCGCTTCGGTACCATGGATCGTGGGTTCAATCCTACACCAAACACAATCTCTTCTGTGACCATGTATGTTGTTAAGTGAAAATTTCATTTAACGTGTAACATACAAGTTAGCGTTAATACAATGCAATTCTTTCATTTATAATTTAACATATTGACTAGAATACATACGTACCTCTATCACCCATCCGGGTAGGCACATAGTATACAAAAAAAATATCTCTTAAAATTAGCGTTAATATTCACAATTTGAAGTATAAGTGGAAAAAGTAAATGTACAGAATGAAGCATGTACACTATGCTTATAACGATTTCCGCCTGTACCTTTCGCATTCGTTCTAATTTTATAACAAACTTTGAAGTAGCCGTAATTGTATCACATAAATATCGATAAATTTTAAAGGCTTCCGTCGTTTTGTAATCTGACCATCGTTTGCGCTAACCTCGTGGACCAAATACAAATTAAATTTAATTTCTCATTTGAACTTCGTGTATAATAAATTAAGATTAAATTTTAGATAGTTCATAATTGTACTACATTAGTTGCAACATTTATCGACTATAAAAGATACATACATACATTTTGTTAAAAGGTCAACTTGTGCTTATAAAGTATCCTTAGCAGAGATTAATAAAAATAATAAATTACCTTTAAAGGTAAGAAAAAAGTTAATGGTGCAAGTAAATGCAAGCAATGTTGGAAATAGGTAGGAGAATACGCTTACAATGTTCCATTGAGGCGTTAATAGTTAGCGTAAATTTATGCGTTGCCGGTTGTAAAACTTAACCAAAAGATGGTTGTAATTATGCGACGTAATTTTCACGCCAACCCGGGTAAAGAACATTTCAAGTTCCTAGTTGAACCAGAAAATGGGGTTTTCATCGTAATTATGTTGCTATTATATAGTTAAGTGAATAAAGAATAAAATATTAATAAAGAATAAAAATAAAATATAAGAATAGAACTGCATTAAATGTCCGAAGATTAACAGTTAAATATATATAAAAAAATATCAAACCTTTATAATATATATAATGTTTCTGTACGTTTGTACGTTAATGAACTGCTCCTCAACGGCTGGACCGATTTTAAAGAAATATTTTGTGTGCTTTCATGTCGATTCGAGAATGGGCTTAGGATTTAGGATTCACAATTCGTTTTTTTTTATTTATAAGTTGTTGTTGGATTCATGTCGCGTGTACAGGACGTCTGTTGGGTCCGCTAGTGTAAATATATAAACAAACAGTCTAATAAGTGACAAAATGGTAAAGTATCACTTCGTCAGTGGCATATTCGGCAACGCATTTGTGAGCGAGCCCTCGGGTGTTGCAGGTGTTCATGGGCGGCGGTAATCACTTACCGGGTCAGGGTCATGCTCGTTTGCCCCTTTTCTCCTTATAAAAAAAAATATTCGGAAAGCTGTCTCCGGGCTAAACGGGCCCCTCAGCGGGACTGTATTAAGTATGACCGATAAACTGCCGGGGAAACCTTGGCTGACAATATTTCCGGGGCAGTCTCCGGCTTTCGAATTACCGAGCGGGCGCTCTTCCCGAGCGAAAAGGGATGCTGCAAATGGAAACGATGGAAATTTTACCGTTTCCGATATTATTGTGTACATTATTATAATTTTTATAAGTAAATAGAACACTCGCTCGAGTTTGCCCACATAGACTTCGATTAGAGATTAAGTTGTATCAAATTATTTCACTCGTGACGTTCGATTTGAAAGAATGTATTCCACTTCACTAATAAAGAACTTAATTGTCTTTAATTGCGGACATCAGTGTAATAATTCAATATATACGCACAAGTAATGAGATTCGTAATATTCCGAAGTGCATTGATATACATATAATTATCAACATTACATATTGAAAACTCTTTTTCTTTATAAGAAAAGTTCATCCCGTATAAATGTAAACCCAAGGATCCATGAGAAAGTCATCATAGTCACTAACTAATTTAATAAGACATAGGCACGACGAGTACGAGTTTTGTAAGGAAGCCAGTTCTTCCCTTCAATTTGAGACTAGCCGTTTTGATTTCAGCTGTAGCGTTTGCGTTTCCATTTAAACGGGAAACCAATTTTAAACGGTATCGCCGGGGAAGGCGAGGGAGAGGATAAAACCGTAATCGCCTATAAAAGGTGTGAACGATAGTTTCCTCTCCAGTCGTACGACGTGCCGACGTGAAGCAAACGACACGCGAACGCAATGGAGCGTGCCGTCGCCCCGCATACGACTTCAGCGAGCGCTTAATAACTTTACACGTATCGCGCGTCACAAACGTGCGTTCGGATCTGTGTCGTTAGGTAGGCGTCCCCGCGACGCGTCGCAGGTACGTCTGTGGCGCCACATGGGCTTCCAGCAGATTAATGGATCATTGCCCCCCCCCCATCCCGTTCACCCCCTCCCCCCCTCCACACCCGTCACGCTGAACGCCACGGCGTGCACGGTTAGCGCGGGAAAATTGCATGCAACATGCATAACATAATATATTTATCTGTTAAAGTTAATACCCCCGGTGGCGGTGATTATAGTTCACTAGGTTACGAGGCTTACGCAACGATGCCGAGACTAACGCCGTCGGCCGACCTTCGATCTCAACAAGTAGCGGCAACGTTTATGCTCGATAAAACACTTCGGAACGGCTCATCGTAAATCGGCGACACCGAAACTCGGCCCCCGCGAACGCTTAAAGTTTAACTGACGATAATAATAGGCGATGAAAAAAAATCGGGCGGCCGGGGGATAAAAAGTAATGTGGCGATAGTGACGCCGTGGAAGGGCTAAGTCGAGTTTTGAGGGATGTCGTAATGAGGCGTGGGGGACAATCGATAAATTTGAATGTTCGACGGCGCCGCCCAGCGACTTGCAACTTTTTTCGGCAGCGGGGGAGCGCGACTTGACGTCGCCGACGCTTAGCGCCTCGCTCCACTAACGGCTATACTATGTTATGCACTTAGCATTGCACAAGTGTTTTTTTATTTTTATGTTATGCGTAACCTTCATTTTATCATCATTAACATATCTGCTTTTAGTTTTCCACGATAAAATACAACAGTTGAGATGGTTCATGTAAAAGTTGGAAGGAATGATTATTCTTATGTAACGAACAATATCAGGATACGAATTATTTTTATGTCCACATACGTCCTTGTGTATGGAGGAAAATTTTAGATTTTCCCATATTGTCCAGTTAGATAATCGTTAAGATGATCTTAGTTATTATTCTCATCTCAGTTATTATTTAAATTAACATAAGCTTTTTAGTAGTAATCAATGACCATTGGTCTGAATAACATTACTTAAGACAATAACTAAATATCTATCTATTATTTACAATCCTTATTTACTTCGCTACATAAGATGTTTTTCTAAATTATCATTATAAAACAGACCATGTGCACCAGCCCTAATGAAACAGGTAGGGCAGCGTAAAGGCGGACGCGGAAGCAATAATCTTAAAAGTTTGATTGACATAGTTTACTCGTAAAACTAGAGGTACAATGTCAACCCTATAAAAGTCGAAGATTTATTCGATTCTGACATACAATAAAAGAGTTATTTATATGAAGCAAGTTTTACGGCCTAATGTATTAATAAGGTAATCAAGCCTTATTTGACAGCCGAATGTTTATGCATACAGGTCATTTTGTACTGTGTTCTTTTAAACTTAATATAGTTCTAAAAATTGAAAACGAAATAATGTATACGGTGATGAACAGATAAATATGAGACGAAAAAGGGGTGCATGAATCGGGGAAGATGGAGATTAGTAATGTCTCTGATACACAACACTCGTTCAGACAGTTTTGCATGCGTGTTTGTGTACGTATGAACACATAGGTACAATGAGCAAGGATGGGCCTGCTTGTTTGTGGAAATTGAACAGCCAGACAGAAAAATGGCGTAAGCCTCAGTATTTATATGCAAGGAGTAAGCCATGAGGCTGACCTTTTTTATGGTCAGCATTGCAACTGTATCCTCACAAGCTGTCCTCACAGCTGTACTTTCGATGACAGCACATTTGTTATTATTCTTTACAAGCATAACAGTTGTTCATATGATAACAGTTGCTGTGATAAGCAGCGATGAAGACTTAGATTTAACTGTGGTAGGGCCACGCAGCAGCCTCGGCTGTTGTTCGAATGGGCAGGCTCGTCCGGGTTAGTAAAACGTATTTTACGCAACGATACCGACCTAACAATTTTCCGCGCAGTTAAAGAAAATGCCCCGATCGTCGCGGATACGTCAGAATACAATTTAAAAATAAAACAACTTTTATCTGATGATGAAAATACAAACAAAACAATCAACGAACCTAATAAACTAGCGAACTGACAAAGAAATAGTCCGAAAAAATTAATCAAGGCGTCAGTTCATTAACACCATAATTTGCCAAACAACCAAAATGTATGAGTTACCAAAAATACACAAATCCAATGCTCCATGGCGCCATATTATATAAGCCAGATCGACTCACTAAACTACAGACTAGCTCCAATCTTCTCTCACCGCTTCATAGAAAGACGTACCTATATAAAAATATCATAAAATTTTATCAGAAGGATAAAACATCTTGCTGACAATTAAACTATCGTTACTTTCGTCGATGCACAGTCGTTATTTACATACTTAACCGTAGTAGACAGCAACTCAACTTTGAGAAAACAGCTGATAGAGAATGACAAGCCTAAATACATTACAATTACAATAGACATTACTTCTAAAACTGCTTCACATCTAGCTACTTATTGTGGAGGGCGGAATTCTAAATACAAGTGGACGGAGTTGCAGAAGGCTCCCCAGTATCTCCTATTTTGCTGACTTATATAAGAAATATTTTTATATATGACTTTGAGGAGCAGACCCTTTCCACTGCATCCATATATCCAAGATTTTACAAATGATTTACAAATGATACAATATTATCTAACATTGTAAATGCATTTGTGAAACGTTTAAACTCCATGCATTTTAAAATATCATTTATTATTGAACTCTTAGCTTTTCTTAATGTTTCACTCGCTATCCCAATAGAACAGTGACCCATACAAACAGATACGAAATTGTATATCTCACAGTTAGCTACCGTGGGAAGATGTTTCCGCAATATACCTCTACAAAATCCAGCAGAATACAATTTGGACCGTGACTGTGGTTTCCCATATATAAGACAAACAAAAAGAACTATGAAAACCCGTATTAATAAAGAACACATAGCTGATGTTAAATTTTTTACTTCACGTCAACTATGTGTCGTCTAAGACGTCTGCAGTTTATGACCACACTATCATCTATCGAAATTAAAAAAAAAAAAAAACAACCAAGTTCAATAGAGAGGACGACTTTAGCACCAGCTGACAGTCCGATACAGTCCAAGAGTCTATTACGATAATACCTAATTTAGTTTTGTGTAACATAACTTAAAATAACTTACATCGTCAATACAGGTTACAGAGGAGTTTTCGAAAAGCTTTAACCTAGTTTTAAGTTCTGATCATAAGATGTCCGCTTGCAACTTTCCTGTCTTTTGCTATGCGGATTCAAGAAATTGTGACAAATTAATTTGTTACATTATGATACCTTCTTATTATGTCATGAGATCTAAAGTCGCCTTTTGTAAAGTAAACTTTAAGGGGGATTTAAAAACAAATTAAACGCGAATAACGTGCATTCAATTTGTGTTAGAGATTAAAGTGCAATCATTACAAATCAGTTCGCTTTTACTAAATAGCATTTATAACCTTTGCTTTTGTTGTTCAAATAGATTTCTATCTGGCTTACTTGAAAAGACTGACAGAGACTTTTAAAAACTTCGCAACTATATATTTACTTAATCTTGACTTTCAAGCAAAGATATATACATATCTTTATTTAAAACTAATAGTATGTACATAATAGAATAATATTAGAAGCGCTTTATGCGATTACAAGGAAAACACTAAATACGTGTATCATTCAGTCATGTGCGGTTCGAATGATGTACTTGCGAGTTTTCCTTACTTCAGTTATTTAATACGTTATTGTTGCATCACAAAGCGAAAGCGAAGCAAATATATATCCAACAAGTTAATTAAAAAGATTTCCACGAAAAAGCAAGGTTACAAAATCTTGTACAATAATTTAAGCATAAAAATTTGTAGTAGTACAGTTCTTTTGTATATTAAATATATCGTATAATTAACCTTAAATCAATGGTTTTACTCATTACTTTGCAACCAAAAATAGTTAACATTCGTTATATGATAACAGAGTTACTTAGAGCGTTTAGCGTTAAAATTACATATCGACGCTTGAAAGCCTATCCTTATTAAGCGACAAAAATCCGTAAAATTAGTTATATATACCATTCGAATCGCCAGAATTTTTCGCGTCGTTTGATCTGAGTCGCATGGTTCTACGACGAGTTTTTTGTCGCTTAGATATTGAGAGATTTCGGTCAAAATCTACATAATGTGCTTACTAAACGACAAAAAAATATTGATTTTAAGAATATGCAGCACATCGACATTTTGAAAATTAGGAATATGAACTTAGTCGGTTTCTTATATATTGACATTTTCATTTATTTGTATTTACGTATTTTTACTTGTTATGAAATTTCCCTTTGAAACTACCTAGTAGATCTTACCTACAAAAAGCAATTGTAATTCATGTGTTTACGTATTTTAGCTTGTTATTATATTTTGTGAATGTGTCTTTTGTATAAGTTAACCTGAAATAAAGCGGAAGAAAATTAGAGCTTAGATATTTTTAGTTGATAACGGTTAATGTTAATGATGTCGGTTATATAGTTCTACTTGATTTTCTAAATGACTAAGCATGGCGAGTAGATAAATTTACCCGTACGCAAATTTTATTTTCCCGTCGCTAAGGAACCGCGTAAGTTTCAAAAACTTTGTATGTCAAAAACTCTGTATAGATACACACGATACGTGAAGTGACACGCCTATACGGGTTCTCAACCAGGCGCCTGCAGTCGCTTAGGGAGGACGTATTTAACATTTTGGCGCAAATTCAATGAAGACATGGTAATCGATCAAATTATGCAAAACACTCTCAAAACAGATAGTCACTTTAACTGCTGAACCAGCCATACTTATCACTTACCTCATATCACGATCTACCGCCTACATCTGCAGCACTAAGTAGAGAATCAATCGTATCAAATCTAATCTAGCATTTTGAACGTTTTCTGGAATTTTGTTGTAGTAACGTAGGTATACATTGTCCCATAAAAGATTTACTTATTTTACGCAGTCTACTTGTGGGTAGGATCAATTTATTTTTGTTCCTAGTTTTTATATTATGAACATTATTATGTCTTGAAAATTTATCCTTATTTTTATGGACATACAAACATTTTCAAAAATGTATTGAGAAGCAACAGTCAATACCTTTATCTCTTTAAACAAATTTCTTAATGATTCTTTGGGGCCCAGATTGTAAACTGCACGAATAGCTCTCTTTTGTAAGATGAAGATT